CTTCTAGATCAAGAGAAGTATTACTACTTTGCAGGGGATGCCGTATGAGGCGACACTGAGGGAGGAGACTCAGAGGGGATATGTTGGTGACATACAGGTATGTGGGGGGATGTCACATGGAGATGGGTAGAGGCCTCCCCTGCAGAGGAAGGCAGAACGTGCTCCAATGGAGCAAAGCTCAGGGAACCAATGTTCCATTTGGATGCCAGGAAGCGCTTCCTGACAGTCAGGGCCCCGAGGGTGTGGAATGTGCTTCCATGAGAGGTCATGAAGGCCCCATCGGTGCGGGTGTTCAAGGATAGGCTGGATGTGCACATGGTGGGCATGTCGTGAGCGGAGCCGGCTAGTGGTGGAGGTCACACTAGATGGCCCGGGAGACCCCTTCTGACTCGCTCTGTTTCTATACACCAGAGTTTCTTACCTCCACTTGATAAACTTCATTTGAAAAAGCTGTTGAGCAACAAGCTAAAGTGATGTATTCAAGAAGTGACCAAACACTTTTCCCTGCACTGTGGTCCTGATGAAAATCATTCATATCAAAGCTGCTATTTATTAACAGCTGGGAGGGAAACAACAATTCCCTGCAGTGGCAACTTCTCCCCTGGAAGAATTAGCAGCTTCAAATGGACAATTTTCACTGGGTTCACAGTTTAAGTCACCCTTTGGTGCAGTTCTGATTGGGTCCCTCTATGGCTGTTAGAAAGGCATGTTAACTGTTTGTTATCTTCAGATAATCTCCAAAGCAGTGCAAGAAAAGGAAGAAAAGAATAGTAAAGTGCCAGGTGTATGTAGTGCTTGCACTTGAACATACCTGAAACAGTTGATTCCAACCATTAAAAGCAAGTTCATATGGGGCTAGCAATGCAGAATATAAGATAAAAAAACGAAATATTTGTAGTGATACTCTGCCTTAATTGTATCAGGATTGCAGTATCTGGAGAGTGACAGATACACTGTAAAATGTCAATATGTAGCAGCTGTTTGTAATGGTAGCTTTCTTGCATAGCTTCAGACTTGTCAGAGGCACTACAGTGTTTCAAAGAATGTGTTAGGTGCATAATATGGTAGAATTGGGGCTTGGTGACAGTTTTAGGTTGAAGACTTTAGTGATCAGTTTTGGTAATAACATCACTGAAAATTATGGATTAAAAACCTTAACATCATTACTTGCCACATACGTGACTTTTTACAAAGTAATGTGGATCGTATGATAACAAGTTAAGGAATATTCCAATTCTTTTAAAGTTGATGGCAAAACTTCAATCAATTTGAATATCAAGATATCTTACTTACTAGTTTCTTCCTGCTGCAATCACAGTTGGACACAATCTATGTTCTGTTAGTGTTTCAGAAGTGTGCATACAACAGAAGCTTATTGCTTTATTTTTGAGAGGAAGGCACAGAATGATATGTGGTCTAAAAATACTGGGGAGAAGACCTCTGTGTACCAAGCTGAAAGAGGATGTGCACCTGTACAATGATGAAGTTGCCTAAAGCTGTTTCCTGTTGAGAACTGAGCTCTGTGGCGGTAACTAAAAACCACTACTGATCTGGTGGAAGTTGATGCTTCCTTGGTCACATATTTGGTGACTTTCTGCAAATTATTATTTTGAAAAACATTTTTGATGTTAGAGACCCAGTCAAGGAAATGGTAGTTCTGGAATCCATCATAATCAAGGGGGTAAGATTAAGCATATTTCAGTGGTATGTGGCCACATGTAGCTCTTCCTGATTTTGCTGAACAGCAGTAGATGTATTGGCTGGATCATGTTTCACACTGGTGAATGAACATCTGATGGTTTGTGTACTTTCAACCTGAAAGCTGCAGAATAAGAGAATTCAGAATTTTTACTGAATGTACTTCCCAAGTATTAAAATAAGAATAGGGATGTTAACACTCTCTAAGCATGTAGTCCTGTGTTGGTTTAGACCAAAATGCTGGCAGGGAGATATGAGGGGTCGTAGCACTTGTTTTGGTCTAAATCTGCATAGGATTGTACACATTTCTCACTGCATCCACCTAATATCAGTGATATCTTTGGGATGGCGACCATACTTTTATCAGCTGGTTCATGCTGTCAATTTACTGCTCTCCGAAGAGGCAAATTGTTTTGCTTAGCTGTGTTTACCCAGCCATTGATAATATTTTTAAGGGGTTTCAGTAAGTCTGAAAGTCTGCAGTTAAAGTTTCCTAATTATGCATAGTATTGAGACATGGGGAGAGAACATCCTATGGACTACTCTGTGATCACTGGGTGACTAAAGCAGTATATTTTTATCAGATAAAACTGAAATGCTTTGTCTTTAAGGTAGACTGTACATATTCATATCTGAGCTATCAAACTGGCTATCTATTTACATTGAAAAATATGCATTTTTACTAGTAGTGCCATGGTTGCAGAGCAGTGTACAAAGATAAAATAGCAAACATTAAATTGCATGGACAGAGCAAGACTTTAGCTTCTAGACCATGGGTCCTCAAACTAAGGCCTGGGGGCTGGGTCCAGCCTGCCATGCCCATTTATCTGGCCTGCCATGCCCATTTGGCTGTGCCCGGGCCCATGTGCGTGCCTGCCGCCTCCCACCTTGCCCCATGCACAGGGAGGCAGCGGTTTGCTCTCTCGCTTGGAGAAAACGATCTCCAAGTGAGCAAGCACCTGCCTCCCCTCCCTTCACTGTGCGCACCTGCCCGCCCGTGCCTCACCTTCCCCCACCTCAGCGCATGCACCCGCACACAACGCCCCCACCCCCTTACCGGCCTGCATGCACTGCCAGCACCGCCTTTCTGGCCCGCGCCCAGCACCGGCACCTTTCGACTGGCCCCCTGCTGAAAACGTTTGAGCGGGGCACGAGCATGCTGAGGCGGGGGTACTCGGTGAGGGGAGGCGAGGGGAGGCGAGACAAGGCGGGGGTGGGCACGCGCCATGATGTAGCAGCAGGCACACATTGCAGCGGCTTGCTCTCTTGGAGATGGTTTTCTCTGAGCGAGCCTGAAACGATCTCGCGAGCAAGCTGCCTCCCTGTGTGGGGGGCAAGGCGGGCAGTGGCAGCGGGCGCACGTGGCACATGCATGGCACATTGAAAACCTCTGAGGCACACCAGATAAATGGCCATGGTGGGCTGGATCCAGCCCCCGGGCCGTAGTTTGAGGACCCATGAGTTAGATGGTCAAAATTGGTAGTTTAGCTGATTTGTAGGGAGGGAAAAGCTCATAGATGATCTTTGCCTCCACATTTCTCCCACCTTGCATTGAATGCCATAATCCTACAATTACATGTAGCCACCTTGAGTTCCACAATGGAAGAAAGGTGGGATATACATATAACAAACAAGCAAACAATCCTCTGAGTTCAGAGGGTTACTGGCAGGCTCACTGAATTGCACCCTAGAACATCAATCCAAATATGATAGGGATACAAATATCTTCAGGAAGTAGCAACATACCATACTGGTAAAAACTAAATAACTTGCTCAGGCTTTTGACTTTTTTTTAAGCTACTGCCTAAAAGAATACAGTAGTGGTACTAAGCAAATATCCTTGGAGAAGGCATTCCAAAATTGGAGCACCACTATGGAAAAGGTTCCCTACAATACAATGTGACCTGCTAGATGCATTGATTCTAATTAGTGATTAACTGAAGGGGCAGCATGCTGATGTCCAGATGATGGAATGCTGACCTGGTTGCTATTGTAGAGAAATTCAGTATGTAATTCTTTTTAAAAAATCCTATGGTGCTAGGGACAACTCAATAGTTCTTACAAATTGTTAAATTCATATTGGTGCAAGAGTATTGTGTGTATGAGCCCCACAGAGTTCTAGATCAAGCTATCTTTATCATGCCTAAAATAAATCATATGTTGTTTTGGTTATTCACTGATCTTATTATTGACAAGGCTACAATCCTGTGCACATTTGCTTTCTTCAGGAACTCTTGCTTCCTTCTAAACATGCAGAGGGTTTGGATGCTATTCATAATACAGTTAATAAAATGATTGCTCTTTCACAGGGTTTGGCTGACCAATATTGCAGGTGGTTTGCTAGAAACCATTGTAAAGCGTTTGCATCCAAAGGTGCATTTCTTCATGGAAAAGACAACTCCTGCTCATGGGAGCATGGGAGAACTGTTCTACAGTTTATTCCAGAGCACGCCGAAACTAAACTTATTTCTATGAAATAATTTCTCTGAAACTAAATCAAAGAATTTCTTCTGCTTATGCAGTAGTTCATGCATGCCTTGTGAAAATGTAAGAACTGCTATAGAATGTGCCTGTTATGGGATTCTTCTGTAAGCTCATGTACAACAATTCAAGGAATAGTGCTGGTGGTTATTTATCTTTCCTTTTTGTTCCTTGGACCAAAGCCTGTTATGCTTTTACTTTAGTTGGACAAATAAAGTAGAAAGAAACTATCTCAGGATATCCAAATGCTAAATAATTTATGGATTAATATGATGCATTTATCTTTACTTTAGTAATTTATCAATTGTACTTATAGAATACCTTTTCTAACTTATTTCAATAAGTTTACATCATGCAATATAACTTATTGCCACTAGTCCTAAGGCTACTTCTGAGTTTGTGTCTGAGTTTAATGTAAATAGGTACACTAACTTCTATCCAGTTAATTCAATAGAGAATGATTAGCTGAATGCTAGTAACATTTATGCATATACTGATAAAAACACATCATGGGGAGATTGACCATTTAAGTTTCTCAGTAATTTTATTTTTAAAGCCTTAATGTATCTAAATTAACAACAATATATATAACAGAGACAAGCAGCAAAAATTGTTGGGTTTGTTGTTTTCATGCCAAACCTCTGTGACCATACCAATCTCCAAAAGGAAACCATTAAGCAAATATAACAATAGAATTATTGAGAAATTCCTGAAAGAAAAATCAATTGGGATTGGTAGATAGTTTAATGATATCATGTCAGTAAAAATAAAATTATCCATAGTATTTTAGGGAGAATATTGATTGCTTGTTTTCTTTTTAGTGGGCTTGAGATGTATCTGAATACTGAAGCTTTCAAACACACAACCTGTAGAACTGATTTGACTGCCTCACTGAGTCTTGGTAAGTAGTGTCTAAATACTGTGTACTTAATAACAGTGTATCTTATAGGTGAAATGCGTGGTTTTATAAGATTATATGCTAAACAGAATATATATATATTGGGTTCTATGACACCAGTTCTCTTTCTGTACTGGATCCTTTGATCCTGTTGGCATGCATATCAAAATGATTTGTTGGCTAAAAACTGGACTGTATATTACAGCACCACAAAATATTGGTGAATTGATTGGACCTGCCTTAATCAGAACTATGTCTGTTTGAAACATCTTTCATGTTCACAGTAATGTTGGTTAATATTTAGCTCCAGCTTCTGTTTTGATGCTGTGTGACTGCCCCATTCCATGCTCACATGTTCCCTCATTTCCAATTTAGCTGAAAACCCTAATATGCTCTTAATGTACAAAGCAGGATTGCAAACTTAATTTGAGTGATAGCTTCCAATCCTGGGCAAACTACAACTTGCTACTTATTCATAATGGTTCAAATGATGGTTTGGCATTATGTCTGAACAGACCATTATAGCCAGGTGCTGCAATTGGACACTTAGAGATCCTTTTGACATGCGAGATATTAGCCAGTGTGTATCCGCCAAGTTATGGGGTATAAGAGATCCAAGAAGGCTTCAGACTATGTTCTCTGTATAAGGTGTTTCTTTCCTATTCCACCTGAACAGTAAATATTTTTTGAAACTGAGAAGATTGTCAAGAGGATTATACGATTTGGCAGATGAGTTCTGTTCTAAGGAAATTTAAGGAGGGCCATTGTAGTACCATATGAAAGAAATAGAAAATGTACATATCCAAGAAGGAAAGCTAAGACAGATGCATGTTCTTTACAGTCTACAGTATGCATTTCAAAACACTGAGTTGTCAGTTTGACTCACCATGGCAAATTTTGCCATTCTATGTGCAAAACATTTCTCATTATTTCTCAAGATATAAGGAAATATGCATAGCAAAATAAATCTCCATGCATGTCCTATGTAAGTGTATTCTGAGTTTCAGATGTGCCGAATATAGTGGTCAGGGACAAAACCTAGAGTCTCAGCCTGGTTTTCCAGATGGCCAGGCCCTTTTCCTGGCCTTACACCCCTTTTCTTGAGAACCAATTACTTGCTAGTTTCCTTGCTTTTGGATATTTTGTCCCTACTCTAAAAGGTTGAAGCACCTCTCCTTAGGATTAATGAATAGCAATAGCAGCCTTAAACTGTAATCTGCTGGTATTTGTCATTTGTCCAACCACTTTTGCCTTTAGCTCCATCTCCAGCATCTCCTGAAATTTTCAAAACGGATTTGGTCCTGGAAGGCATAATTTGAACCATGATATCATAGCAACCATACAGTTACCATTACTAGAGGCACCTTTCTAAAAGATCAATACCTCTAAATGAAGGGCAATCATATTATATGCGTATATGCTTATTTATTTATTTAGAATTTTTGTATGCTGTCCCATTGCATAGCCTCAGGATGGCTTACATAAAATAAATAAACATAATACAAATAATACAAATAAAATCCAGATTCATCCTGGCTGCGAATTAAAACCTATAGATGATATTAAAAGTTATTAAAATAGTGTTTAAATAAAAAGGTCTTAGCCTGTCGCCAAAAAACAAATAACAACGGCGCCAGGCGGACCTCTCTGGGGAGCGCATTCCATAGGCAGGGCGCCACTGCAGAGAAAGCCCTCCTCCGGGTACTTTGCCTCCTAATATCTTTCACAGAGGGTTCCCGGAGGAGGGCCTCTGCTGCCAATCTCAGGGGGCGGGAGGGCAAATATGGAAGAAGGCATTCCTTTAGGTATCCAGGTCCCAAGCCGTTAAGGGCTTTATAAGTAACAACCAGAACCTTGAATTGAACCCAGACTTCGATGGGAAGCCAATGAAGCCGGTAGAGGACTGGGGTTATATGAGAGTAATGCCCAGTCCCCATCAGCAACCTGACTGCTCTATTTTGTACCATCTGAAGTATCCGGACTGTCTTCAAGGGCAGCCCCACATAGAGTGCGTTACAGAAATCCAATCAGGAAGTAACCAATGCATGCGTCACTGTTGCTAGGCAATCGTCCTCCAGGTAGGGACGCTGATGGAAAGCGCTCCTCACCACTGCAGTCACTTGAGGTTCCAAAGACAGCTCTGGGTTGAGGAGCACTCCCAAGCTGCAGACCCTGTACTTTAGAGGGAGTGCAACCCCATTCAGGACAAGGTCCAGGTCACCTACCCAGGAGCTTGAACCACCCACCAACAGGATCTCCATCTTATCTGGATTGAGCTTCAGTTTATTGGCCCTCATCCAGCCCATTACCTCGGCCAGGCACCGGTTCAGTACAGACACTGCCTCACCTGGATTGGTTGAAAAAGAGAGGTAGAGCTGGGTATCATCAGTGTACTGATGATTCTGCAGCCCAAACCTCCTGATGACCTCTCCCAGCAGTTTCATGTAGATGTTGAATAGCAAGGGGTACAAAATGGACCCCCGGGGTACTCCATGGCATAGCTGCCATGGTGCAGAGCCAAAGTCCCCCAGCACCACCTTCTGGACTCAGCTGTCGAGGTAGGAGCAGAACTACTGCCAAGCAGTGCCTCCTACTCCCAGTCCCGCTAGCCTATCCAGAAGGATACCATGGTCGATGGTATTGCAAGCCGCTGAGAGGTCCAGAAGGACCAACAGGAATGCACTCCCCCTGTCTCTCTCACTGCACAGGTCATCATACAGGGCGACCAAGGCAGATTCAGTACCATATCTGGGTCTGAAGCCAGACTGAAATGGGTCCAGATAGTCAGTCTCATCTAAGAGTGCTTGGAGTTGTCCCACCACCACCCGTTTCAACACCTTGCCCAAAAATGGGATGTTGGCCACTGGTCTATAATTGGCGGCCATCTCTGGATCCAGGGACGCCTTCTTTAGGACCGGCCTGACTACCTCCTCCTTTAGGGGGGCAGGCACCCGGCTGTCCCTCAGAGAGGGGTTAATGACCTCCAGGATCCAGGCACCAATCCCGTGTTTGGCTTTGGTCAGTAGCCATGACAGGCAAGGGTCAAGTAAACAGGTGATGGGACGTACTTGTCCAAGCACCTTGTCCACATCATCAGGCTGCAGTAACTGAAATTCATCCAATATTATCTGACCAGGCGGAAACATTGGCACCTCCCCTAGAGGATCTGAATCACTAGTGGAGTCCAGCTCATGACGAATCTGAGTGATTTTCTCCTTAAAGTGCTGGGCAAAGTCATCACAGCTGGCCATCGAGGGTGGTACGGGATCTTTCTTAGGGCCAGGATGTACCAGCCCATGTACCACTCGAAAGAGCTCTGCTGGACAGCACTATGAGAAGGCAATGGGAGAAGAATTTCTTCTTCACCGCCCTCACCGCCACAGCATAGGCTCAATAATGAGTTCGTAAGCGTGTTTGGTCAGATTCATCAAGAGATTTCCTCCACCTATGCTCTAGATGTCTCCCAACCCGTTTCATCACCTGTAGTTCAGTTGTATACCAAGGGGATGAATGGGCTCTGCCGGATGGGAAAGGATGCTTAGGAGCGATCGTGTCAATCGGCCATTTCCCCATTCCACAGTTCAACCAGAACATTATTTATTTATTTCTTTATTTGGAGTTTTTGTATGCCATCCCATTTGCATAAGCCTCAGGACGGCATCAACGGGAGCGCCAGCTTTATCAACCGGATACTCCCCCAGAGCTTTCAGGAATCCATCCGGATCCGTCGGCTCCGAGGGCGGACCAACACAATAGGGTCTGCACCCTTACAGAGGGAAAGGCCGGCATTGAGCTCAAACCTCACGAGAAAGTGATATGACCATGACAAGGGAGTCAGACACAAATTGCTCGCCCTCAGATCACCTTCTTCCTGCTCTGTCGAGAAAACTAGGTCCAGCGTGTTTCCACGTTCATGGGTCGGCCCTATGACATGTTGAGACAGCCCCATGGCCGTCATGGAGGCCGTGAAGTCCTGAGCCACCCCGGTCAGAACAGTCTCGGCATGGAGATTGAAGTCCCCCAGGACCAACATCCTGGGGTCTTCAACACCAGGTCCAAGACGATCTCCGTCAGCTCAGGCAGGGAGTCTGATGGGCGGAATGGTGCACGGTACACCAGCAGAATCCCCAATCTGTCTTGGTCGCCCAATGCCAGATAAAGGCACTCTAGACCTGGTCTTGAGGGAACAGGAAGCCCCACAAGGGAAATTGAAGCTCGATAGATTAAAGTGACCCTCCTCCCCTCGGGGCGTGGCTGGAGCTGGACCAGATACCCAGGTGGGTACAGTTGAGAGAGGGACACATCCCCCCCCTCTCCCGCCCAGCTCTCTGTAATGCAAGCCAGGTTGGCCCCCTCATCCACAATTAAGTCGTGGATGAGGGATGTTTTGTTATGGACCGACCTGGCATTAAGCAACAGTACCATCAGGCCCAAGGGGCGGTTGATAAGCATACCCAGAACCTTCCAGTTGGGGGAATAACCAGAAGGGGGAACAGGTGTTAACCATCTGTCCCTCCTTCTTCTATGCCAACACGTTAAACCCCCAACACCATATTGACCATTGCCCAAAACCACCACAGTGGTGGTGCCCACGTGTTCTCCAGGTAACCCCATAGTAGCAGCCAGGTGTGAATCCATTAAAACAATCTATTAAAATCCAATTAAAAACAATAAAACCTTCCAACCCACCCAGTTACAAAAGCCCACCCACACAGCGTCTATGGCCAGCCCAGCCCTCACACAGCCCCGAACGGTCCCTAATGGCGGCAGCGCCCTTAGGCCGTCACCTTTCAGCCGCAGCCAGTGAGTTAATGCCGCGGCCCCTCCTTGTGCCCCGCCCCCAATTCGGTGCAGCTGCCACCCAAGCCGGGTCAGGGCTTGCGGAGCACCCGCCGGCAGAGTGGAGGGCCCGCAGGCCGGCAGCATCCCGGTCCCGCGGTGGCCGCTGTCCTTCGGGGCAGCGTCGGCGTCAGCGGGTGGGTCGGGTCCGCAGTCTGCGGTGG